GTGATTTGGTATCAGGAACTAATAAAACTTGGTTGGAGGCCGCTGATATGTCGGATAAAATTAAAATCCATTCGGAGCGTATTCTCCATCTCAGTATCAAGGTCATTCACGATTCTATTCCTATCAAATGGAAAGATACTATCAACATCTACTTCAAAGGGAACGGGAAGTGTAATCAACCTCTTTCACATCATAGCTTTGAACTGCACTTTTCTGATGAACTAAATTTGCCACTATATAAGTTTGAAAAGGGCGCAATCTATAAATATCTGATACGTGTCCAGTCAATAACACAACACCCACAAAAACTTGACACTGTTTGGCGGGACATCCTTAGTCTGCCTGAAAGTGCTAAACCCAACTTCAAAGACTGCTATGAAACACCAGTCATTAACAAATATGGGGATCTGCAGTGGCGTATTGTCCATGGTGCCTTTCCAACGGGGAGGTTTCTGTTCAAAGCTCGTTTGAACAATTCTGATAAATGTCCTTTTTGACACACTTCAACACATTTTTTATGATTGTCCATCAAATAGCGCCTTACTCCATTATTTTAATAACATCGCGTCGCGACTGCTTCAACCAGATTTTCGCATTCCGATTTGGTGGTTCACTATTTTACCACCCCATCGCTCAAAACACTTTATGTCGAGCAAGGCACAAGGTTTATTTTGTTTCTTAGCGTGCATGGCTAAGGTTGCAATTCATGTCAGCCGTCGTAATAAAAGACAAAACAAAGGATCGAGTGAGCCTCTGGACATTTTTATTCAAAGTATTAAGTCGAGGCTTGAAACAGAATATGAATGTTTCCGGATCATGAACCAACTGCCTGAATTTGAGATTATGTGGACGGTAGAGGATGCACTATGTAAAATCGAGGATAACACACTTCGCATTCTACTGTAAACATGGCAGGTACGATCTATTTAAAGCAGGAAGTTGCTTTGTCTTGTTGTTAAACATCGATACAAACGAACATCATTGTATTTACAAACTTAGCACACGCACAGGAGCCAAGAGTTTTGTCCTCTTGGTGGGCTATCATTGCACACACTTACAGCAGCGCATATATGTTTTATGTTACTTGTTCTGTGTTTTAAATGTTTTGATTTTCCCTTGGAATTTGGCAGGGGGGTTGGTACCCCCTTAAGTGCGAACCGGTGTCACCGGCCTGCCTACGGGGTTCCAAGGTGTTTTTGTACTGTTACGTGATCGTCTTTTATTTTATTTTTACCCGTGAACCAAAAAGCATAATATAATATAATATAATATAATATAATATAATATAATATAATATAATATAATATAATATAATATAATATAATATAATATAATATTAAATACTGACAAGTGAACGACGAAGTAATAGGCGTTCGTATCTTGACCTACAGACTGTTTTCTAAGGTCTACTTGACCCAAAGTAGTCTTTGTTTTGTCGATAGGAACTGCGCCCTCTCAGTCTCATATATCCCTGTCATCTGCATATTAACTGATCAGAAATCATGAAACTATATACAAATCTCACGCCATCTTGATTAGACAAAATTGTTCTTTTCTAGTAGACTTACAAACTTATGCTTGCCAAGATAGAAACTGTCGTACAACTATTATCTGCCTGAAATAACACTTTCATCGTTGTTATTTTTTACGTGGCGCAATTCTGACAAGCGTCAAAATCAAAATTCAAAATCGAATTTCGCAAATGCAAGATCTATGGAACTCAGGTTATGGCGAATTCTTTGACATATCCACAAGTTAATAAACACAAAAAACACTGCCCTCTAAGGGCCATTTATATTTTGCTTTATCAATCACGTACATAGGGATAGGATTGAAACACGTTTACAACACATAAGCAACACTTATATATAGGTATAAATATACGAGTCAATTAAAATCAAAACAAAAATAATAGTATATCATGAAAGTTTTGTGTCACAGTTTTGATTTTACAACTGAGATCAACGCCCAAACTTATTTTTCATGTCTGCCCTAATTTTGCGATACTCACTCGACCACTATCACCACATTACTTTAACAGTAATGAAACAACTGCGATATACACAAAAACAATTTGTAACCACTAATTTCAAACGCATTATATCGAAAGGTCAACTGCTGAATATAGTTTTCCGATGATGGAATCATGAAATAAAAATGATGTTATATCCATACTGTTTGTTCTTGATATTTTTCATCTTGAGAAAAACAAGGCATAGTTAATTTCATAAAATAAAACCCTTTTTGACATCATATATTTAAATAATTAAGCATTATGTAATCTCCCACAAAATTGTTTAAATAAGCTAAAAAATCTAAGTTATCTCTATTACAACTTTAATAAAGGATATTCACAGACAACAAGATCAGCAATTTTACTTCGGCCCCTGGGATATAAAGTGCCTCCTAGAGGTCAATTATATTCAAAATGTTAGACCCCCTCTTGGAAAATTCCTAGATCCGTCCCTGCTGAAAAAGACAACACGCAGAAATGTTAAATGCATGCTTGAGCAAGTTTGAAAAATATTTTTGATACAACGCTCATTTAAACTTTCACATAATGAATGTGTTTCTGTTAACTCAAATTGTATCTTTTTCTAACTTTACGGTAATTCAAAAGCTTTTATCCGATTTGTTTTTCAAACTTGGGCATTTCATTAACAAGTTTAGCCTCAATTGGTGTGACTAGGATATATAATTTTCAGGATATGGGATACAATTTTAAAGCAATTATCCGACATAGAAATAAGTACACAGAATGAAGACATTTTTACTGCTGATCATGAGAACCAGGTGGTAATAGCTAATTAGTTATCTAATTTCGTATAAATCATTCTTCCTAATGGCAAGTACTTAGCCCGCAAAAATGTTGGCCAGTATTTTCCCTTCCCCAAAAGTAAGTTAAATTTTGCATATATTCACACCAAATCATAATACTAAATACGTATTTTTGAATGGGATGAGTTTTTACTGTCATTGTTCTTGTTTGGTCAGAATTGTACCAATTGTAAATTTTAGCAAGTAATTTCCGTGCAAATATTGCTTAGATATAGCATTTTATTGTTTCAGAAAGATTATTATAATTTTTGCTGTGCAAGTAAAAGACGGTTTTAGGAAGCATGTACGTTGTTAGTTTGCATTTCTTCTGAATTCTTGTTATTTAATCTCTAGATTCTCAGTTGACAATAGCTAAGAAATGTTTATTAAGTTTCAATCTGTTCATATTTGACACACATAACAGTGATAGGGGAATTATTCAGACATATATTATACAGTAGTTGTAAATATTGGGTTTAGTCGTTATGCTCAGTCACTATATTTCTATTCTGGTACATTTGTGCTTTCTATGTCTCAGAAATAACTATGTTATTATATGTATTAGCTTATTTAAATGAAGAAAAAAATGCCTAGCTCTTACTCAGGTCGTAAGTAGTAACATGAAAGTTAAACTAAATATAGCTCATATAGGCTTACCAGCAGTTCAACCAAGAAGCCCGGGAAAGTCAACATGCATTTCTTATTCATTTATTGAATCTGCCATATAAATCACCATTATGATTGATACATCCATACTCTTATACAGAACCATTTGTCAAGCTTCCAATGTCATTGCATTTGAAATAAACTTGACATTAGTGAAAACGTACAAGTTCCTTTAGTGAACTGATGATGCTGGCACTTTCTAGGCTGGTAATGGCAAAGTTGCTGCTATAAACCTCACAAAGTCGGGCAGTACAGAAATCAAAGTTAAATTAAGTCAGGAACACAACATTACAGCACTGCAGAGGTCTGGAGTATCACTGAACTGAGCGCACGACGTCGACACGACATTATCCAGCAATACTATTTGCATAACAATGTAAAGTGGAAATTACATGTGATCACAGTGGGCCAATCAGCACGCAACTATAGTGGAACTTAGACTATATATATTGTCAAAGGTTGTTAATTGGTATCGTACATGTTTACCTTAGTGTTTTATTATCTAAAACTAGTTATGTGGAGAGCATGATCCTACAATAATTCTACTACCGCAACACTTTCTGCAAATTCCTATGTCATAGCTAAAAATTACTAACTCAGATTATCACATTCTATTGTCTATCATCCATGAACTTGACACAGAAACACAGAGGCACACATACACAACAATTATCAAACCACCCAAAATAATCAACTGTAAATAAATTAATGCTTTCAGCACAATTGTCACTACAACATGTAAATTAGTTGTTATGTGTTTGGTTTGTATTAGCCAGTTGTAACAATGCATGTAGCATCCAAGGCCGATGTAAGGGAATTCCACCATAGTATTCTTACACGGCATATACACACACATTACGTAGGTATAAAGATAATCATGCTGTTTAGTACGATTTTAGTTTTAATCAAATCCCCCTCCTCGCATTGGTAAGCAATGTTCATTGGAATTAATATTTATGAGAAACTTGAATAGCTCACTCAAACTGTAACGGAAGAATAACAGCAATTGCAGAACGAGGGGAGATGGGGTTCAGGTGTGGGGTTTGCAATCTTACATTCAATTTGGAAGCACACGACCTGCCAGTGACCACTGAAAAATACATAGAATTTATAACGGAAATTACGGGAATTAAGTTGGAATCAGATGAACGGGACTTTATTAGGAGCAACATACATATACTGTAGGTTTAAAAACATTTCGGACATAATATACGTGTTATATTGTGGTCATAGATAGGAATGACATTTATTATTGCTCTATGTGCTTAGACAGTGTACGTATCTATCATGCGGGTATATCTCGTATATCTCGACAGTGACGGTTTGGTAAATACATTATACATTGCCATACTATATGTATCAAAGTCGTGTTATATATCATCAAATAAAAATGTACGGGTATATATGTTATCTATGCTGCAATCATTGTCATTCTCGATTCAAATCAACCCATAAAAAGAACATTTTCTCAATTAGACTCGAAATTTTGTCATGATTAGAAGGATTATTTTTCTGCAGTTATAAACTCTGTTTCATCGTAAGCCACTTCCATCTTTTCTGCCAGTTTTCTCATCAATTCCGTCTGCTTTTCGACCATCAGTGTCAGATTTGTGTTTGCGTTCGTCATTCTAGAGAAAAACAAATAAATTTTGTTTAAAGAAATTGACAGTCAAACCCAAACCCAAAGATCTATTTTATACTTTGCGGTGTATGTGTTTTATTGACATATTACATAATATAATTTGCGATGCGTGCCAAGTGTATCAGACAATAGAGTAAATTCGTAGTCAACGAAGTCGAAATTAATATCGACATCATGTTATGACGAGGGTATCTGTGCTTACTTTGATTTGAATTCGTCAACGTCTTTTCTCAGTTGTTCGAAAACGTTTTCTTCTTTTGCCATACGAGCTTCTTCTTTTGCCGCAATCTCAGCTCCTTCATCCCGTCTTGAAAATCGATTACGTAACTAGGATATAACGATGTAAACATGCATAATTAATGCATTTCACTTGACAAGTTGAGACAAGAGCCAGAAAATGCCATTTTATTGTCACTGTTAACGATGACAATATGTACAAAAAAAGCTAATTTCAAGAAATATCCACACCCTTTTGAATGCCTTCCTTTTATACGGCTCGACCACCATTCTTCTCACATATAATCGTTTCTGTAACCAAATGGGTAAATTTAATTCGATTCCCCTCACTAGATCGACCTAGATTAAAATAAACAAACGTTATTCACATTAATTTAATTCAATGCTCCATTGCTGTCTTAGCTGCGTAAATACAGCGACACATAATAAATAAAAATAATAAATAATATAATGTTAGAAAGTTTATGCCAATTACTGAGAATGAAGCTAACTACACACACGTAGCACACATACGTAAGTACAACAATGAACGCGTGTATGCTGCTTCGCGCTGCAACAACTAAAACTGTGATATTATAATAAACGCGAGAACATTAGCCTAAATAATGCTTGAATTCTTTACATGAAATATGTTAATCAATGCAATTAGTTGAACTTATTTTTCCTTTCACATCACATTTACATTTCGGCTATCTGTGACTTGAGACATTGTATTCGTTTACTTACTTGCATTTCGATCTTTTCAATATTAGCATTCTGTTTGATATACTCGATGTCACCAACTGCAATACCAACCTATCCAATGATTTGAGAATTGATTATTGATATAGTATTGCTTACTTGGTTAAGACTGATCAATATAGTTTCATTTCCCCTTTGTGCACAGTCATTGTTTTTTTCGATTTATTTTATAAGTTTAACGTTGGGACAAAAAAAACTATTGTGTTATCTAAATTATTTCAAAATCTAATTTTCAAAAGTATTTTCTAGCGTAAAAATAGAAAGTTAAGTGTATTAACACTTTGTGTGATGATCGAAGATGAGTTTGATCGGAGCTTACAGGAGTTTTCATCTGAGAACACGTTTTATTGACAATGTATTTACACACGACACATTACTAAAACAGATAAATATAACAAATAATATTTATAAATAGGTTCATATTATTTTTAATATTATTATCTCAAGATGAAAATACTTTCATAATTATTTTTCCCCATAAAGCCACATTTGTGTTATGTTTACAATTACATTTCGTAATAAAATTATTTATTTATACAGGTCATATGCGATCATTAAGGAAGATAGGAAAAACATATAAATATATAAAGCAGCCCTCCCCCATATGTCACCAGCCTGCTATTGCCATGGAATACCTACACTCATGTCATTCATGATTACGATGACTAAAATCTAGTTCTTTGAGTGGTTTGAGGTTAAACTATACAAAAAGATAGAAGATGGATTGTAATCTTACCATGAGATTCATCAACACAATAGGCATCAGAAAAAGAAATGCCATAAATAAAACGGTGGCTGCATCCTCAAATGGATCTACCGAAACATCACTGTAAAATATGTCACTATAATCCATTTCACCAACTGTCATAACGCACACCTTAACAAACGAGTTCCATAGTGTACTAAATTGTTCCTGCAAAGTGGTAATACGATTACAGTTAATATATCACAACTCATCGGAGACAATGTCCATATCAAATGAAGTTTTCGTGAAAAAAAAACAGAATTTGTTACGTCACAATTTTTATGGAATTATGGATTACAAACTGTTCACAACTACTTGTTCACAGATCAAATAGATACTAGACGGAAGGAAGGAAGACTACAATGAATGCACTGACTGAGAGAGCGATAATACTTACGATTCTTCCTAGAAGTATGGAGAAAGACGTTGCAAATGCCATGACAAAAAGAAAAAACACAACAACAGCCTGTAATTTAATGAAACGAGAACTTGCTACTGAGTGATACAAACATGGTACGGAATGGGCTGCGTGAGAGTGTAAACTCAAAACATGCAATTTAGCTATAATTGTACTATGCTCTCTATGCGTACCACTATGTCTTGAATAGTTTAAATTGACGGCGTCTGTGTGCACTACGACACGTAACTTGGAGTAAAAGACAGTTTTCATTCAAACAGAGTTTGGCGTTGTAGTGCAGTGTCTCACCTTCAAAAACGATTTTACAACTTCATAGAACATAACGATGTAAATACCGAACAAGTCGACCCTAAAAGCACAAATGATATGAATATTTTCAAATACATATTATTCGCACAGCGTTGTTTTTCGTAGGAAAGTGTGGTGTTAAATAGGATAAATACAGGTAAATGTTTTTTTGCTCAAAATGTGTGTACCCTGGTTATGTACTAACGTATAGATTTTCTGATGTTTTCAACATTATGCACCAAAACCACTTCTCTTAAGGGCACATTTTAAAAATATATGGAATGTATGAACGAGCCTCTTATAATAATGAGTTGCGCATTTGCTTTCGTCAGGCAATCTACGCATGTGCACAGATTAACATGTAATTAGATGATACGTATGTACAGATTTATAGTTTCCTTCCAGTTGCGGATCATCATTCGTATATTTCCTTTATCCTGCAATAAATTGCAATACATAACTTACCTTCTAACATACATTATTAAGTTCATCCACGAGAAGAAAGCAGCCACAGCCCCAGCTGTCCACTGAACTGCACATGGTTTCTGCGCAGGCGGAAACACAAAGACGGATGCTGAGACATACAGACACCAGTCTATACCATTGGCTATCTCACTGAAATATTTCATTCCCTGAAATTTAAAATAATTACTACAGCCTTTTGTAATTAATAATATGATTTTGAAGTTTTTTTCTTGTGATTATTTCAAGGATGGCTGACACAAATAAATAACCAAAACAAACTTACTGTTTTGAAAATTTCGACAAGCTCTCTCATTACGTTTATAAAGCAGTATAGAAATATAGAAATTTCAAAAATAACCATGTAATCCGTCTCGTATTCACCAATATAATTACCGTCCTGTGGTAAAAATAGTGAAATTGTAAATTCGTCAAACTTGTTGACATATAAAACACAACATCGGAAAAAAAAAAACCTTCAGTGATGCATTGTCCATAACTGCTTATGCTGGACGATTTGTATTGTTGCCTTTAAACCTTTGAGCGCCAAATGAAATATAAGCAAGTACGTAATTATATAATGTTACATTAAAATTCGTGGAAAGTTGAATTAACACTTGGGCGGGAAAATATAGCAATTGTCGTCAACTTTAGATTTCATTCTACAAAATTATCTCAAAGTTAGTTATGGTTCGAAATTTGGCATGTTAGTGGCGTGGTGTGGATGGTACTCACCTCATCAAAATAAACACTAACATTAACACCATAAGGCAACGGACAACCATGAGTGTCTAAAGTATGTTTTTCAGGACGCGGCGTTAACCCAATGTACACCATTAAAGATAATAGAAACATTATATACATGGACACGTCGATGGAGAAAATAATAACTCCGAACTTTTTCCTACGAAGACAATAATATTTATCTGGTTATTCAGAACATCCTTGTGATCAACCTGTATTTTTACAAATATGACATATTAATGTATTGTTAAACAACTACTTACCATTTGATCATAAGTAAAGTTTTACAGAGCTCGTGCATCAACAGATGCTCCCTTCCAAACTGTACCATGGCCTGCGAAGATGAACAGCGGATTAAGCACATTGCTCCAGTTTTCCAATCAGTCGTACTTGACCCATCAATTCACCGAGAGAAACCATGGCTTTGAACAGTGTCAATTAGACGAATGTAACAGACAAATTTTGGTACATGTTGTACTTCGATTTTAGTTTTTAGTCAAATATTCATCTGTAAAATGTAGTACTTATAACCCTCATTCAATCTGTTACTGTACTGACATTCTTTATGATATCACATACTCACGGCCAAAGCACACCATCGTTTTTTACGTCGCCCATCTGGACCCTTTTTCTTAGATTCCACAGGACCGGGATCAATATATTCATACTCGTATGTAATCTGCAATTACCCAAGATGCATTGCATGAATTATGGTTCATGGGAATCAAATGATGTTTAATATTATTTTTTTTTCTATATTGTTTCGGTTAATTATAAAATTTAACATGAGGAAATGCAATATGGCTGTCTGTGTAATGCTAGCAAAGTGGTGCCGCAAAAATGCACACTTCAGGTCAAAATCTGGAAACCGCCTGTGCTCAGATTTACTATACGCGCACGATGCCATAACTTACCAACACATACATCTACTTTGGAGTAGTAGTTTAAAGATGAATTTATTATTACCTTGAGATTTGGATTGGTTTTATCGGAGTGAGAAAACTGTACACACTGATCCAGTACCATATATGGCAATTTTTCTATCAGTCCTTTCAATGGCGGGTCACCACCAGCGCCGGGTTGACTGATAACTTCTCGCCAGCTAGGAACAACATTATACACATTACAATGAACAACAACATTCTTAGTAAATACTGGACGACAACCGTCCGAAATGTTAAAACAAAAGAGACGAGCCAAAAAGTGTTTTACAATGTACGATTCATCTACTTTCATTCCGTGTTTTACAGTGTGAGATTACTGTACTTACGTTCTATGTTTCACAATGGCAGCGGCTGTGTCCTCTTCGAGCATATGTGTTGCTTCATCTAAACAAGTGAATTGTTTTTCATTTTGAGTGGTTACACAGGCCCCGCTGTCTAGAAGCAGTTTTGTAACATCAACATTGCCATTGCCGGCGCTCAGATGAAGGGGAGTGTTCTGGAAAAAAATATTAATGATGCAATGTAAATACACTGGACTTCAGTGACAAAAACATGTGATATGCCAAACAATCATGTTTGACGAATGTAAACTCCATGTGCAGTGAATGGAAATGATAACAAATACTAGCATTTAGACTTATGAGAATCCCAATCACCAACCTTGTTTTTGTCAAGTGAGTCTATCTCAGCATGGTTCTTCAAGAGGACCTTTATAGTGTCCAAGTGGCCTTCTTTCGCGGCAATTGCCAAAGCCGAACGTCGATTTTCGTCCCTGAAAAATACAGACTTAAAGCGGAGGAGTCGTCATCTGCGCATGCGTCAGATGGCCATAGCATGTCATTGTTTACAAACAAGCGTTTACCCATGCGCCTTCGCGTTTTTAGCGTGTTTTGTTATCGTCGCTTGGGAGTCAATTCCCGCGCATGCGCAGGTGACGACCCTCCCGCTTTAAACATCAAACCAAGGAAGATTGAAGCATGTACCTGTAAACACAAATACACATATCTTCCTGTACGTTTATGTAAAGCCGTCTCTGTTATATTGTAAAAATACAATATGACAGCTTATCACTCTAATATAAAACACAAAAATACTACTGCATAATATTCAATACCAATTTGACATACTTGCTTGAAATATCTGCACCAACTTTCAGCAAACGTTTGACCACTTTATAGTGACCTTCCTCGCTTGCCAACAATAGCGGCGTTCTTCCATCGATGTCATCATCATTGATCCTAGTAGGCGCAGCTTTAGCCAACAATCGAACACATTCCAAATGACCATTGCTATATGATATCAAAAAGGTTAATTCAACACACAGAAGCTAATATTAATGAATTCCATGGCTTTTAATCAACGTGATATAATTATTTCAGTAAATGAAATTATGATACTTCTACATTGAAGATTAAATTAGAAAAATCAAATTTTCTGACGTAAAAGTAAAAAAAATACTGCAAAATAAGGTAATACACGTATAAATTATATAAAATGATTTCACATAAGTTAAGAAATTTATTACAATCAGAAACAAAACAATACATTTCTAGTTTTCTTAACAGTTGTAATAAAGTGCGTTGAACTAAAGGTCTCACAATATACACTTACCAAGCTGCAATATGAAGAGGCAACCTTTCTTCATGGTCCTTGCAAACTACATCAGCTTTGTATTCAATAAGTATAGATAGAATCTGGAAAGTAATGTGCTAAGATGTGACACACAGAATGAAAAATAACATAATAATTTCAAATGAGTAGTCAATTCATTATATTTTGTAACTGTCTACATTACCGGTATTTGTCGTACCTTAGCATTTCCGCTTTCTGCTGCAAAGTGTACAGCTGTTCGCTCCCTTTTGTCAGTCTCATTCAGTAGATCTGTTCCACCATTTTCCAATAGTATCTTTACAAACTCGCTGTGATTGCCTTCCACTGCCCAGTGAAGAGCAGTCTTCATATCTCGATCACTTACAGTTATGTCGGCGGATTGCTGTAGGAGGAATTGTGCAGCCTCTGTTTGTCCCTTCCAGGCTGCGGCAAGTAGTGGTGTAAAATATTCCAAGTCTTTCGACTCTAGAGAAGCACCCTGAACAACAACAACAAACAAGCAGAGTAACTTTTCATATTAAATAATTATACTTATAGATCTAAAATTATGACACGTGAAAATACACTTATTATACGCTACCTTTTGAATCAAAAACCGCATCACATCCATTCGACTATACAGAGAGGCTCTAGTTACAAAAATAAATATTATGTTAGGAACATCATCTAAACTGGTCCAATCTCCCCAATCTGTGGGTGTATTTTTTCTCAGGCCATAATGTTATGCCAGTGAGTAACGAAGTATAACACTATTTATTATAATGATGATTGACTCATTGTGACAAAATTGTCACTATTTTGGATGTTATTTGTTATTGTCTAGTTATTTGTGTTTGTAGGTGATAGTATTGTAAAGTAACTTTATTGAATAAACTCATCATATAATATACAAAATAGTGCTAACTAGTGTACAGGTGTACATGAATCAGGTCATAGTTTGATTTGCAGTGTGCTGGTATGCGAGTGTGTATTGGAAGTTAGTGGTATGCACTTACAGGTGGGTGTATGGAGGTGTCCTAGAGTAGGCTGGAGTGATGAATAGAACTGCTTTTGTGATGCAAAGTAGGTCAGTGTGCTTGGTAATTCTGCAGTGTGATGTGGTTAGTTGTCCAGGAGTGAGCATCTCCGGCAATTCTACTCGTGGTGACTCGTAATTTTACTATCAACTGGCAAGGCGTTCAGGCTTTGAGTTGGTGGTGACTTTGCTGTATTAGGTCAGCCAAGTATATAGAGTAGAGGTCTGCCAAATTAGTTTTGCAGCTTGGTGTTATTCCTGAGACTTTGAGATTCCACCCTTTGGTGAGGGAGATGGACAAGACGCCAGCACATAGAAACTATGACCTGTGAGTGGTGAGTCGTCGTGACGCATGGAGCATGGAGCGCAGTCTGAGTGGAGGGCTGTGAAGTGGAATTCTGGATTGTGTGGAGTGAAGCAAGTGTCGAGCAAGTGAACGTTTGAACTTGCCGGGCATTAGGACAGTCTGAACTGGTTGTGGCGTGTTTCATGAGGTCTAACCGGTTGTATTACCAACTTGCAATGATATTTCTTAATTTACTGCTTGTATTTATAACGTGTATGCTTCACGCATTAATGTAATTTTGATGAGCGTGTAGTCTAGTTTGTCTTATAATTGTATGCCATTTTATGGATTGTGACATGTATTAATATAACTAGTAATATTTCCCTTAGCATCATCCCATTGTGTATAGAACTCACTACCAGCTTAATAAAGCGTATTAATTCTGAACCGCACACTGGCGTGATTTCTGCTTGTTATTTTATTGCATGTGCTGCCTGCTAGAAAAATCTGACACTCATTATTGGCATCTCATTAGCTTGGGGTAAATATTATAATTCCATTACACAGATGACCTTGGAATGATAGATGTTGAGTGTCACATATATATCTTGATATCACTTCTTGGTTGTCTATCCGCATGCTCCAAACTGGTGCCGATTTGACCACGCAGTGTATTGCGAGTGTCAATTGCTTGGTTCTTGCAAAATTGGGAATTATAATTTTACTTGACAGATAATAGCTTTAGATTTTCTCAGTCGTATATATGATATTATTTTATTTCTAATCGAATGTGGTAAAGAATATAATTTAGATCAATGGCTTATACGCGTTAGGTACGCACTACGTAAACATTAGGTACCACAAATAACAATTTCCACTAAGCCTAAGACCACCAAGGTTATTAAATCATTTACCTATGCAATGGCGTCATTTGTTCGTCATCCCTGGAAGTGACTTTGGCTCCTTTATCAACCAACAACTTTGCCATTTCGGCATTCCCTGATACAGCTGCAATATGGAGTGGAGTGAATCCGTTATGTTTACCGGATTCCACATCAGCACCCAATTCTAGACAATACTCTACTACCTGTAAGTAAAGGAAGACAGGTTAACTTATTGGAAACTTAAATTAGTTGACTTAAACCAAGGTTCTTAAGTCGCAGACGTAAATGATATTTCAGTAGCATTGGTCACTCCATTGAGTTGTCTATTCCTACCTCGATGTGACCTCTCGCAACAGAAAGATGCAAAGAATTGCTTCCTTCATCATCAATATCAACCATAAAGTCTATAGGTCTTATATTCTTCTTCTTACCTACAATTAGACAACGAGTCAGGTGAATGAAAAGGCTGATCTACTGCCTGGATCACAATGTTGCAACGAAGACAAATATAATGAATAGTAATATGAATTTGCATTTCAAAATATAATTCTAATTTCAATATACTCGTTATCAGGTGATGAGATTATTTCTTTATAGGTTAATTTGTTACTAAATAAATAATAGTAATTATGAAATTCTATTTTCAGGTAATTCATTTCCATTTCAACCTCGATAAGAGTCACCTATGACTCCAGTGTATCCTACAATGCTTTAACTACAACAAAAATAGCACACCTGCATCTACTAGGAACCTCATCATATCTGTATTGCCCCTGATAGCAGCAAACATAAGGGGAGTTATATCATTAATTTCCTTAGCTTGGACATCAGCGCCACGTTCCAACTGCACGAATATAAGGAAAACCAATAGGGAAATAAGGTACAATGTTCGTTGAAATTAGAAATGAGTTTCTACACCGATGTATAGAAATGTAATTAATAAACATAACATCCACTGCTGCTTACCAATACTCTGCTGATGGTAACATCACCTGACATGGCTGAGTGGTGCAATGGTGTCATTTTGTCACTGTCTTTAACATTCACGTCAGATCCCTTAGCAACCAACAAAACCTAGTTAAGTAATATCCATTAATATAATTATGTACAGTAGCACAATATATATCAATTTATTATAAATATGGGATACAAGACCATTGAAAAATCAGTTGCTGGTCTCAATAGTCGATCTAGTAAGTTGTTAGGATAGAATTATAGGTCGAACACTGACTATTAACTATTATTTTTCTCGTCTGCCAAGTTACAATACCTCTGTTGCTTCACGATTGCCCCTCCGTGTACTGAAATGTAAAGGCACCATTCCATTGAGATCTGTGGCTTTTGGACTTGCACCTCTCTTAATAAGCATCTTCATAATGGTTGTATAATTGCATTTTGCCGCAATATGCAGCGGTGTTATTCTGTACTCACGAAGAGCAATGTTGGGGTCTACAAACAGAAATTGCAATATTTACAATCTGGAACTTAGCCCAATATATACAGCACTGTGACCAATATATCCAACACTGCGAACATCATATCTAGCACTGTGACCATTATATCCAGCACTATGTCCAATATACCCAGCACTGCGCCCATCATATTCATTACTGTACTCATTATACCCAGCACTATGTTCATTATATTTAGCACTATCCCCATTATATCCAGCACTGTGATCAATATACCCAGCACTATATATGTTCAAAATATCCAGCACTGTGACCATTATATCCAGCACTATGACAATATATCCAACAATGTGCCCATTATACCAGCATTATGCTCATTATATTTAGCACTATGCCCATTATATCCAGCACTGTGCCCAATGTATCCAGCAATGTGACCATTATATCCAGCATTATGCTCATTATATTTAGCACTATCCCCATTATATCCAGCACTGTATTCAATGTATCCAGCAATGTGACCATTATACCCAGCACTATGCTAACTATATTTAGCACTATCACCATCATATTCAGCACTGTGCCCATTATATCCAGCACTATATATGCTAAAAATATCCAGCAATGTGCCCATTATACCCGACACTATGAATGCTAAAAATATCCAGCAATGTGACCATTATAGCGAGCACTATGCTTATTGTATTTAGCACTGTGCCCAATATATCCAGAATTGTGCCCAACATATTCAGCACTATGTCCAATATATTCAGCATTATGTCCAATATATCCAGTAATGTGCCTATTATATTTAGCACTGTGTCCATTATATCAAGCACTGTGTCCATT